AGAGAAAGAACAACTTGAAATCGCATCATATGACCCCTTTAAGTCATTTGGCTTATCTAGTAAAAGCATCTTGATTTTAAGAATTTTTAGATATTACAAAAATACTAAGTAAGATAAGCCATTTTTTGCAGTTTGAACCGCTCGTGTTCTCAAAATATGTTCTACCCAAAGATCCTGTTTCTAAATCGAATGATTTCATGGCTTCTTTAAGATGTTGTGTGATGTTTCTGTAGAATGTAATCTGGTGGAGGGAGAGGACCATGTGGAGGTGAACGGGGAGATTTTCCAGAAGCCTTTCGTAGAGAAGCCTGTGAGTGCTGAGGACCACAATGTCTACATCTACTACCCCACATCTGCAGGAGGAGGCAGTCAGCGGCTCTTCCGCAAGGTGTGACCTTAATGAGTCTCAATCTATCCCTTCAACAACAAAATACACACCACATTACATCAGCTGAGTATTTTAAGCAAAATACTGGTCCCGCTTTATATTAAGTGGCCATAACTATTATGTACTTGCATCATAAAATAAGAACAGTGTACTTATTGTGTTCATATTGCATTGTAAAACACTTCTGCTGCTATTGAGGTGGGATAGGGGTAAGGTTAGGGACAGGTTTGGTGGTATGGGTAGGTTTAAGGGTGGTTAAGGTGTAAGGGATGAGTCAACAGTGTAATTATAAATGTAGTTACATAATTTAATTGCAGATGTAATTACATGCAGGCATTTTTAAAATGCAAAAATTAAAGTGCAATTTAAAAACGTATGCGCATTGTACTAAAGGATTAATTTAAATGTAAGTTACATAGTAGTTAAGACATGAGAATGAGCTATATTATTAAACGTGAGAATGATTTGTGTTATAGTATATTGAACAGAATCGTAAGTGTATAGTTTAAGACTGCTTGCCCTGTCAGGTTCTCTGGTAAATGTGTCTCCTGTTTATTGTGTGAGACAGAAACAGTCGCTGTCACTCGTGTTGCCAGCTTGCTATTGAGAATAAATCCTGTTGTGAATAGGGTTTAAAGCCTAGCCAACTTTTTAAAATAATCAGTATTTGCAGCCTTTATTAAAATAATCAAATATATTCAAATTTATAGGTTGTCATTATACTGGCACTCAGTTACATAACAAAATGCCGAGCTGCTTAATAGCTTGTGTAACACTGATGTCTCTGATAGTTTGTGTTTTTAATGATTAGGTGGTGTAGAGTGGTGCAAATAAGTATTTATTATTCAAAAACAAGAAGATAGCATCATAACATGGTATACTTGAAAGGTTTATGTTAGCTAATAATTTAACTTCATTGATAAATTAACTTAAGCTTCATTGCATCAAATCGTCCAAACTCGTCCTAACGGCTGTGTTGAGCAGACGCGTGTCTCACGGTTTCTGATCATGTTACGTCTGTTTCAGATTGGCAGCAGAAGTAGCGTCTATTCTCCCGAGAGTAACGTCAGGAAGACTGGATCCTACATCTATGAGGAGTTCATGCCTACAGATGGAACGGATGTAAAGGTATCGCACAGAGGTCGACCGATGTATCAGTTTTGCCGATTAATCGGCACCGGTAGTTTTTTGCAGGAACTATCGGTTATTGGCAAAAATCCATGCCAATAGTTTTCCGGGTTGCGTCCATTGCTGGAACGGCTGAAAAGGGTCTGCTGTCATTACACAGTGTGAGAGCGGCCTCTAGTGGTTGAAATCACTGACAGCACGTGCTATTTGTCCGGAGTGTGTGTGATTCTCCTGTGTGTGTCCGGAGTTTGTGTGAGTCTAGTTCTCCTAGACTCAATGCTGCGCTTTTATTTTGATTAGATAATCATCAAGTGTTCAAGAATAGAAGAAGTTAAAGTGTGAGAGTATACATACAATATCCATATGTATATAATTTTAATGCTATGGCCTTTGTGTATATTTAAAGATGTGCATCTTTAAGCATGACTGTTGAAATGAAATGGTAACACTTTAAAATAAGAGTCCATTTGTAACATTAAGATTAATGAAAGCTGTGTAATGAAAGTATTGTTCCTTGTTAGAGTGTGTTCATTTCAACATTATTATTATTATTACTACTACTACTATGACTACTACTACTACTACTAGTAGTATGGTTCAGTACTGTTTTTTTAATAAAGCACTATTTTAGTTTTTGTTCAGTATCAATTTGAAAAACTATCGGTTAATTAATCGGTATCGGCCAGTGTGGTCCAACCTAGCTATCGGTATCGGCAAAATCCACTATCGGTCGACCTCTAGTATCGCAGTCGTTTATCTTCAGCAGAGCAAAAAACCTCACACACCATTTTCATGTATTTTCATATTAGTGGTGGTAATTCTGATTCATCAAAGTGACTAAAATATTTTGATTTTGTTTAGAGGAAAGTTTTCTCTCTCTCTCGCTCTCTCTCTCTCTGTTTCTGTTCATTCTGTTCTTCACAAAACGTCTTGAAATGTGATACTGTATGCGAAAACTCTTGAGTCGTGTCTGGCTGTTCAGTTCAGTTTTTTTATTTTATTTCCCTAGCTAACAAGTTGTTTACAGCATTTGGACAACAAAAAACATGACAAGTACATAAATTGTTAAATTGAGTTTTAGCTAAATTGGTACACTGCAAAAAATTAGGGATGCACCGATATGAAAATTTTGGCCGATACCGATAATTCTTTATTTTTGAAAGCCGATAAACGATATGTTGACCGATAAATTTATATCCAAATGTTTATATACTTTTTGAGAGCCTGATTACAAAAAAGGTTTAAGAATCTAAAAATTCTTAAATCAAGAAGGATTTTCTACTTGTCTATTTTTAGACATCTTGGCTGGAAACAAAATCTAAGTAATTAAAGCATTTTTTTTTTGCAGTGTAAAAGAGTCCAAAGTTGTTAGCAAAAATGTGAATGGGCTCATTAGTGCCACCTTGTGACAGACTTTTACAGTGTTTATCACACAGGCTCATCTAGTCAGCCTCAGTACACACAGTATATTCCAGTTTTCATAAAGATCAGTCATTCAGATTGTTTGGTTATGCTACGTTTGCAACTTAGATGTTCTTCTACATTACAGTTTTTTATAGACACTGATTTATTCATGAATGAAGCGCCACTGTTTCATATGCTTTCTTGTGTTTGTGTACATCAGGTGTATACTGTAGGTCCTGACTATGCCCATGCAGAGGCCCGTAAATCTCCCGCTCTGGATGGGAAGGTGGAACGAGACAGTGAGGGGAAAGAGGTCCGTTACCCAGTCATCCTCAATGCCAGAGAGAAGCTCATCGCATGGAAAGTCTGTTCGGCTTTCAAGGTAAATGAAGACGTTGAAAGCAATTTAGAGGCTGCTCCTTTTATCAGTTAGAGCTTTATATTTCTCATATCTTATAATTTCTCATTTATAGCAAACCGTGTGTGGGTTCGATCTGCTCCGTGCCAATGGCCAGTCATACGTCTGTGACGTCAATGGCTTCAGCTTCGTCAAGAACTCCATGAAATACTATGATGACTGTGCAAAAATCATGGGGTTAGTACATCATACAAATCCAAAATATCCAGTGATTTTTTTTATATATATATATTGAATATTATGTTTTATTGTCAGATGCAAAAAAGGTTTTGTATTTTCTTTATTGCAATTTTAATTATAATCAGGTGATTATACTATGGACATTTATGATAAGGATTATGAATGTATTTAATGTACAACAGATTTACAGCATATTGATATTGTTTTTCTTTGCCCCACAGGAATATCATCATGAGAGAGCTGGCTCCACAGTTTCAGATCCCGTGGTCGATCCCTTTAGAAGCAGAGGACATTCCCATAGTTCCCACAACCTCTGGGACTATGTATGTCCTTACAAGCAAAGACAAACACAGTTTTAAACTTATAGTGATAATTACTTTACCAATGTTATTAGTATCTAAGCTAGTGCAATCGTTTCTAGGAACTAAAATCTAGTTCTTCCAAAAATGAAATCATCATTAGCTCACTTTTCTTGTCTCAAATGCATATGACTTTCTTCGGTTTTCACCAAAACCACAAATTGTTGTGATGTTTTTGCTGACACTCTTATGTACCAGTACTTTATTAAAGGTATAGTTCACCCATTCTGTCATCAGTTACTCTTATTTTGTTCCAAACCCATAAGACATTTGTTTATCTTCGAAACGCAAATGAAGACGTCTTCAATGAATCCTGAGAGATTTCTGTCCCTCCATTAAAAGTTCATTCCACCAAAACGTTGACTATTCAAAAAGGTCATAAACCATTGTAATCATGTAATCGGTCAACATGTTCACTTTATACAGTGAATAGATTTAATTTAGGCTTTCGTTCACATATAACACAGAGCACATAAAATATGCTAAACACAAGCAAGTCCAGTACTTGCATGAGGCGTGAGAATAAACCTCAATGGTTCTTGTGTTTCACACAAGCACTTTTGAGCTTCCATATGTGATGTGCTCTATGTGTGTCGATCATTGTTTACATGCAAATGAAAGCCTAAATGATATCTTCATCATATAAAGCAATTGTGACTTTTCTGGGGGGCTTGGATTAAACCACTTGATTCATATGGATTGTTTACCATATTATTATCAACTATCTGCATCCTCAAATTTTAGTGTCATGAATTTTTAATGGGGGGGACAGAAATCCCTCAGGTTTCACTGAAGATGTCTTGTTCTTCGAAGAGGACTAAAAGACCTGTGAATGAATTTCATTTTAGGTCCATTAAAAGTTCATTCCACCAAAACGTTGACTATTCAAAAAGGTCATAAACCATTGTAATCATGTAATCGGTCAACATGTTCACTTTATACAGTGAATAGATTTAATTTAGGCTTTCGTTCACATATAACACAGAGCACATAAAATATGCTAAACACAAGCAAGTCCAGTACTTGCATGAGGCGTGAGAATAAACCTCAATGGTTCTTGTGTTTCACACAAGCACTTTTGAGCTTCCATATGTGATGTGCTCTATGTGTGTCGATCATTGTTTACATGCAAATGAAAGCCTAAATGATATCTTCATCATATAAAGCAATTGTGACTTTTCTGGGGGGCTTGGATTAAACCACTTGATTCATATGGATTGTTTACCATATTTTTATCAACTATCTGCATCCTCAAATTTTAGTGTCATGAATTTTTAATGGGGGGGACAGAAATCCCTCAGGTTTCACTGAAGATGTCTTGTTCTTCGAAGAGGACTAAAAGACCTGTGAATGAATTTCATTTTAGGTAAAATAACCTGTTAAGTGTTAAAGAGAGTCACAATGTACTGTCACTGCATTGATTTCACCCAACTGGATATTCATTTAATTATTGCTTGAGCAGAAGAAAGCCAGTCATATGGGTTTGGAAAGACGGTGAATAAATAATGACAGAAGTTTCATTTTTGGGGAACTGTTCCTTTTAACACATTAATATTATATGTTAATGCTGATGTACTGAGTTATATCTTTTGATTTCTGTATAAGCTCAAAGTAAATATCCGTTCAAGTGCTGTCGTATGACTTTCAGGATGGAGTTGAGGTGTGTGATTGCGGTGATTCGACATGGTGACAGAACTCCCAAACAGAAGATGAAGATGGAAGTTCGACATCAGCGGTACAGACTTTCACCTCTGCTCTGTCGCTGATCTATATTCATCATAAACTCTCACAAATTCCCAAAAAATATGAAAACTGACACTGCACAACTAAAAATCCACTATTGTGTTTCTCATGTTGTGTGTTTCAGGTTTTTTGACCTCTTTGAAAAATGTGAAGGTTACAAAAGTGGAAAACTGAAATTGAAAAAACCAAAGCAACTCCAAGTAAAGACATTTTGTTTTAAAAACACATCTCTTCCATCTTTACTTGACCCTCTAACTCTAGCACTCTCTATTCTAATTCTATTCTTAAAAAAAACCTTTTAGACTTGCACTCTATTTATTTACTAACTGCTTGTTTTCTTTAAAAAAAAAAAAACTAACACTAGCTTGCTCTATTCTTTTTCTATTCGATCTGTTTTCTTTTTATTTATTATATGATTTAAAAAAAAAAACTTGCTACGTGTACTGCGTTAAGCTAACTGAGACTTGTGATAGCACTCACATATCATTGCTCTTTTGTTGATTTTGATTGCTTCCATTGTCCTCATTTGTAAGTCGCTTTGGATAAAAGCGTCTGCTAAATGATTGAATGTAAATGTAACATCATACATATCTAAAGCATGCTTTTGAATATTAGCTGATTTGCTCAGTTGTTTGTTGTGTTTGTTTGAATTGGACAGGAGGTGTTGGACATTGCCAGGCAGCTGTTGGTAGAACTCGTCCAAAATAACGATTCAGAAATTGAAGAGAGCAAAGCAAAGCTTGAACAGCTGAAAACAGTCCTTGAAATGTAAGTGGGTCCAGTAAGTTTATTAATAGGGGCCAAGCAGCAAAGGTGTCTAGGCACCTAGTTATTGTATTATTATTCTTCTGCCATGGATTCTGATTTTGTTGTCTGTTCCACAAGAGAATGAAATGCATACAGCAAAAGGGTGGGTAAATGATGACCGAATATTCATTTTTGGTTAAATCTGCCATTATGAATTTTATTGATAAAGCTTTCATTAGATCCTCACCAAATTTAGGATCACCTTTAAATCATCTTCAGATCTTTAGTAAAAATGTATATCAATCTGATAACAGCACCAGCTTTTGTGGTATTTCAATCACTGATACTAAAATAAATCCTGCGGATGTGAAGTCAAGTCACCTTTATTTATATAGAGCTTTTAACAATACATTGTCAAAGCAGATTTACAGTATTAAATAGGAATGTGTTAGTGTGTTGTGTAAGCCAGGTTAAAGAGATGGGTCTTTTTTCTAGATTTAAACTGACAAGCCTCAGTGTGTCTGCCTCCCGAACAGTGTTATGTAGGTTATTCCAGAGTTTGGGCACTATATAGGAAAATTTATAGGCACAAATTGCCTGAGTTTTGAGAACGCAGCGGACATGGAGGACTATAATGCAATAAGAGCTCATTCAAATACTAAGGTGCTAAACCATTCTGGGCTTTATAAGTAATAAGCAAGATTTTAAAATATATACAATGTTTAATAGGGAGCCAGTGCAGTGTTGACAGAATATCAGATATCTCCCAAGGGTAACATGTAAAGAGTGAAAGTAACGGCCCTAGTACTGAGCCTTGATGTACTCCATACTGCACTTGTGATCGATATGATACCTCTACATTCACTGCTACGAATTGGTGGTGGTCAGATAAGTAAGAGTTGAACCATGCTAATGCACTTCCACTAATGCCAACAAAGTTTTATAGTCTATTCAAAAGAATGTTGTGGTCAATAGTGTTGAACGCAGCGCTAAGATCCAGTAGCACTAGTAAAGAGATACAACCACGATCAGATGATAAGAGCAGGTCATTTGTAACTCTTATGAGAGCAGTCTCAGTACTATGATACGGTCTAAATCCTGACTGGAAATCCTCACAGATACCATTTTTCTCTAAGAACGAACATAGTTGTGAAGATACTACCTTTTCTAGTATTTTGGACAGAAAAGGGAGATTCGAGATCGGTCTGTAATTAACTAGTTCTTTGGGGTCAAGTTGTGGTTTTTTTAATGAGAGGCTTAATAACAGCCAGTTTGAAGGTTTTGGGGACATATCCTAATGACAATGACGAATTAATAATAGTCAGAAGAGGATCTATGACTTCTGGAAGCACCTCTTTTAGGAGCTTAAATGGAATAGGGTCTAACATACATGTTGTTGGTTTAGATGATTTAAAGGGTTAGTTCACCCAAAAATGAAAATCAGCCCATAAATGACTCGCCCTCGAGTCATCCTAGGTGTATATAGTCTCAGCCTCAGACGATTTCCGGGAGACGTGTGTGTCCTGTTCTTTAACATTCTGCCTGGAAACAAAGATGCCATGATGCCAAACCCCCTCACAAAAGAAGAAAGCCGTCGTGTTTACAACTGTGACGACGAGCACTTATCAGGATCAACTAAACGCTGGATTCTCAAAAGTATGTGAAATATTTAAAGTTCGCGGCACAGAATCTTTAAAATACGTCCAAGAGTTTCTGTTATTGTGGCGACATTTCCACAGCCCGAAACATGACGATGAACAAAACGAACTGTGATTGGTTGTTTGACATGTCTGTTAAACGGCCTCATGGGCGGGCCTTGGCCAATGAAAGCTGCCATGAATTCCAGACCTTCAGCCGTCAGTCTGAGGGTCTGGCTACGCGAGACTAAGGTGTATATGACTTTCTTCTTTCAGACGAA